GCCCTGGGCCCCACATTTGCGTTCCAGGCTCCGGCCCCCGGCCCCCGGACCCGGTCTCCCGTTATATGTATAGATGCGTATATACATGTGTATATGTGCATATAATTCCCTACCTAGGCTCTGCCTAGAAGGGTTCTTACTGGCTGTGCTAAAAGGGCCGGGCAGTGGTCCTCGCCCCGGGCGGTTCCCCCGGCATCCGCCCCGCGGTTCCCCCAGTTGCGCCCCCTGGGTTCACCCAGCTTAGCGTAGCTTAGCTTAGCTTAGCTTAGATTAGCTTGCGTCCTCTTGACTTAACTTAGCTTAACTTAATTTAGCTTTGCCTAGCCCAGCTTAACTTAGCTTAGCTTAGCTTAGCTGGGTTTATATCATGTTAGATTTGCTTAGCTTAGCTTAGCTTAGCTTAGCTTAGCTTGGCGTAGCTTAGTTTAGCTTAGCCTAGCCTGGCCTCGCTTAGCTTAGCTTAGCATAGCTTACCTTAGCTTAGCGCAGCGTTGCGCAGCGCAGCATTAGCACAGCATTAACACAGCATTAACACAGCATAACATAGCATAGCATAGTCAAGCATAACATAGCATATCACAGTATAGCTCAGCATAGCATAACATAACATAGCATATCATAGCGCAGCATAGCATATCATATCATAGCATTGCTTAGCATAGCGCAGCATAGCATAGCATAGCACATCATACCATATCATAGCGCAGCGCAGCCTAGCATATCATAGCATATCAAAGCATAACATAGCGCAGCATAGCATATCATAGCATTGCCTAGTATAGCATAGCATAGCGCAGCACAACATAGCATAACGCAGCATTGCATAGCTTAGCATAGCATAGCGCAGCATAGCATAGCATAGCATAGCATAGCCTAGCATAACACAGCGCAGCCGAGCGTACCCTAACATAACATAGCATAGCATAGCGCAGCATAGCAATGTGCAAATGTAGCTGTCGGTGTATATGTAGATGTTGCTTTCCTGAATGCTCCAACTCCTAGGTAGGGTCGCACTGGGATCATATGTTTCCCCGGGTGACCCCAAGAGATCCCCGAAGGCTCGTTGGAGGACGCCAGGAGACCACCCCTGACAGTGCTTCAAGCAGGCATCAAGAATATCAAACGCTCCCGAAAGGGCCCCGAGGGGCCCCGAAGAGGATCTGAAGAGAACCACAACACGACACCAACGTGTCCCCAGGGGGCCGTCACAGCAAAAGATCCGCGAATGCCTTGTTCGTCTTATCCTCCTCTTCTTCCAGTTCTTTTCTCTTGCGCGCGAAGTGAGGCGCGCGAGCGCCTCACTTCGGCTAATCATCCATTCCTCATCCTCCTCCTCATCCTCCTCCTCGTGATGGGTCGAATCCACAATCTTATGTTAGTCTTCGCATATCCCGCTTGGTTCGACACGGACTCCCTGGAGGGTGAAACAGCCTCGAGTGGCTGGAGAGGCGAGGGGTGGCTGGAGAGGCGAGGGGGTGGGTGGTGGCAAGAACCCAGATAAATAAAAACAAAAGCACGGTATCCGCAGATGAAGAAACAACCTCCCAGGAGGGGAACCGTGGAAGAGGGAAACCATGGTATCCGAATTGCCCGCTCGGTCCGACGCGGCCTCCCTGGAGGGAGAAGCAGCCTCCCAGCAGTCTGGAGGCACAACCGTGGCAGGGGGAAGGCTGGAGAGATGAGGAAGGCACGAACTCTGATGAATGACGCGGTATCCGCACAGCCAGCCTCGGTCCGACACGGCCTCCCTCCCTGGAAGGGGGTGCAGCCTCCCAGGAGGGGAGACCGTGGCAGAAGGAAAGCTGGAGAAGCGAGGAAAGAACGAACCCTGAAAATAACACGGTATCCGCATCACCCGCTCAATCTGACGCGGCTTCCTGGGAGCCAGAAACAGCCTCCCAGACGGGGAGACCGTGGTAGAGGGACAGCATGGAGAGGCGGGGAAGACCCGAACCCTGATAAATCCGCAGACCCTTTGGCGTGTGCGAGAGGATTTGCCCTCGTTGCCCTCGTCGTCGTCGTCGTCGTCGTCGTCACCGCTAACCCCCAGGAAAATGAGCAACAAGGAAAAGACACGTTGTAGTTAAATCGATCCTCTCCCCTTTTCCCCTCCCTGCGGGGACGGCTGGGGGGGGAAAGAGGGGTCCCAGGTCAGAATACCGTTAGCCGGGGCCTGTCCCCCTACAGGCGGATTTTGGACGAAAAATAAGAAATACCCCAAACACGTTTCAAAGATATGCAACAATGGTAAAAAAGAATCGTCCCCATGTTATTTTTTACTATTTTTGAATGTTCCACCTGTAGAGGGGCACGCCCGACTTAAGAATAACGCCCCACCCCCCCAAGGGGTCCCGGCGGGACCAGCGGCAGTCCCGGGCCCGGTCGCCGGCGGGGGTCCTGGGGCAGGCTTCCGTGGTCGGCCGCACCGGCCGTGAGGCCTTGGCAGTACGGCAGGTTCGTGCGGCGTCGGCGCGCGCGCGAGTGTTTTTGACACCGCGTCGATCGTTCCACCTTGGACCGATCGCGGCCCCGATCGTTCAAAGTTGGATTCGTGAGTATCGCTTCACCGATCCCCATCCCCAGCGGCGTGGCCTGGGCCCCACTGGCCGATTCATCCCCCTAGATGGGGATGTAGGTCGTTCCCTTCGGGTTTCGAGGGGTATATTCCCAACTGGGGTGGTAGTTGGGGGGGGGTCTCGAAGGGGATGGGGATGGGGATTGGTTCAACGATACCGAATTCAGTCGGGTCCAGTGGCGTTACCGTGTCAATCGGTGCTTCCGCGTCGCAGAATTCAACCTTGAACGCCGTCGCCGGGGTCGCCAGCGCGCCAACGCCGCACGAACCTGCCGCAACATGGTATATCCGCATGGCCCCCTGGTGGGGGGGTGGGGAAGGCACGGACCCTGGTAAATAAAACAGTTTCCACATAGCATAGCCCCTCCGGTCCGACACGGCGTTCCTGGAGAGTCCCAAGAGGGGGGAAGCCTGATATTGGAAGGCCTGGAGAGGTGGGGAGGGCACGAGCCCTGATAGATAGCGTGGTATTCGCACACACACACACACACACACACCCTGGTGCGACACGGCAGGCGTGGAGGGTCACTGGAGGGGAAAGCCTGGTATTGGAAAGCCGTGAGAGGTGGGGAGAACACAAACCCTGGTAGATAACACGATGCTCGCATGGCCCCCCAAGTCCTGCACGGGATACCTGGAGGGTCCCAGGGGGGGGGAAATCTGGTAGTGGAAAGACTGGAGAGGTGGGGAGGGCACGGACACTGATTGATATATAGCACGGTTTTCGCATAGCACCCCCTGGTCCGACGCGGCCTCCTGGAGGATCCCAAGAAGGGAAAGCCTTCTATTCGAACGCCCGGAGAGATGGGGAGGGCACGAACCCTGATAGATGGCATGGTCTTCGCAAAGAACCTGGAACATGGTATTGGAAAGCCTGGAGGGTTGGGGAGGGCATAATCCCTGATAGATAACACGGTATTCGCATAGCCCGTAGCCCCCCTGTCCGACAGGGCCAGCGTGGAGGGTCCCAGGAGGACACCTCGTATTGGAAAGCCTGCAGAAGTGGGGAGGGCACAAGTGATGAGCCTGTTTTCCACCACCACCACCACAAGTTGGAGGGGGAGGGGGTCCTCCTCCTCCTCCTCCTCCTCCTCCTTCTCCCTCCTTCCCCCCTCCAACTTATGGTGGTGGTGGATGAAAGCAGGCCCATCAACAAGCCCTGATAGATCACTAGCCCCCCCAGCCCTGCACGGCCTCCCTGGAGGGTCCAAGGAGGGGGGAACCTGGAAGTGGAAAGACTGGAGAGATCAGGAGGGCACAAACACTGATAGATAACACGGTACTCGCATAGCAGCCCCCCCAGTTCCAGACGGCATCATTGGAGGATCCCAGGAGGGGGAAACCTGGTAAGGGAAAGACTGCAGAGGTGGGGAGGAGGGCCCGAACATTTATAGATAACACGGCTTTCGCATATCATCATATACCCCCCGATCCGAAACGGCCTGCCTGGATGGGGGACACTTGGTACTGGTGGGGCTGGTGGAGTGGAGAGCATGTGGATTAGGGAGGACGACTAGGAGGCTTGCACAAGGAGGAAGGTGTGGAGAGGAGCGGGAGGCTTGAACGAGGAGGAGGCCTGCACGAGGAGGAGGGGGAGGAGGAGGGGGAGAGGAGGGGGAGAAGGAGGGGGAGGGGGAGGCGGAGGCGGAGGGGGATGTTGTTGATGATGATGATGATGATGATGATGATGATGATGATGATGATGATGATGCTGATGATGATGATGATGATGATGAGGATGATGATGATGCTGCTGCTGTTGTGCTGATGCTGATGCTGATGCTGATGATGACGAGGAGGATGAGGATAAGGAGGGAGGATAGGGTGTCTGGGAAAACAAAGCTCCACTCAGGGTGTGGGGATTAAGCTGCACTGCACAAGGTCCGCGCGAATTTCTCGGATCGGCACTGGACCCCTCTCTGGCGCGCGGAACGCGCCAGCGGCGGCGCTGGATGTGCCGCCACGAGAGGTCCAGCGCTTATCCGATACATCCGCGCGGGCCATCGAGCATGTTCGGTTCTGTAGTCCACTCTTTTTCGAAATGGAAGAGGAAGAGGAGGAGGAGGAGGAGGAGGAGGAGGAGGAGGAGGAGGAGGAGGAGGAGGAGGAGGAGGAGGAGGAGGAGGAGAGGAGGAGGAGGAGGAGGGAGGAGGAGGGGGGGGGGGGGGGGGGGAGGAGGAGGAGAGAGGAGGGGGGGGAGGAACAGCAGCAGCAGCAGCAGCAGTAGCCAACAGCAGCAGCAGCAGCAAGAGCAGGAGGAGGCAGGAAGGGGGAGGACGGAGGAGGGGGGAGAAGGATGAGAGGAAAGGGGAAGAGGGGGAGGCGGAGAAGGAGGAGGAGGAGGAAGAAGAGACCTTGGACCGAACCACTGCCACGACCTCCCGTGCCCCCGACATGTGGCGCCCCCCCCCCCGGCCCCGGGCACCGCGATCCGGACAACCTGCCGGCACACGTCGTAGCACATGTGCCGCACGAACTCTGCGGGCCCTGGGCGCCTTCGGCGGCGGGAGGGAGAGGGGGTCCTCCTCCTCCTCCCTCCTCCTCCTCCTCCTCCTCCTCCTCCTCCTCCTCCTCAAGCTTCTCTCCGCTCTCCTTCCTCCTCCTCTTCTCTCCTCTCTCATCTTCTCCTTGCCTGCTGCTGCTGCTGCTGCTCTCTCTTCCCTCCTCCCTCCTCCTCCTCCTCCTCCTCCTCCTCCTCCTCCTCCTCTTCCTCTTCCATTTCGAAAAAGAGTGGACTACAGAACCGAACATGCTCGATGGCCCGCGCGGATTTATCGGATCGGCGCTGGACCTCTCCTGGCGGCACATCCAGCGCCGCCGCTGGCGCATTCCGCGCGCCAGAGGCGTCCAGCGCCGATCCGAGAAATTCGGGCGGACCTTCTGCAGCTTGATCCCCACACCCTTGGAGCTTTATTTTCCGAGAACACCCTCTCCTCCCTCTTCTCTCCTCCTCGTCCTCCTCGTCCTCCTCGTCCTCCTCCATTGCCTGCTCCTCCTCCTTCTGTTCTCTCCTCTTTACAAAAAAACTCAATATGAAGAATATTATCCTCTCTCCCCTGAAATTGTCGAGGACGTGGTCTCGCCACACAGTTTTTTCTTCGCACACGCAAGAGTCCGAATGGGGTTGTTGCCTACTGCGCAATCCAATCCGAATGTTTTCGGTGATTCGCAAATGAGTTTTCGAACTGGCGTGGCCGTAACTTCCAGATCGACGATCTGCTCCAGTCGTTCAGAATGGCGCTCTCCCCCCAGCCTGGGCCACCCGTCTGGATCCCATGAGCCTCCCATGTCCCGCAGGTCTCGCAGGCCCAACAGGTCCCGCATGACCCACATGCCTCGCAGGTCGACGCGCAGGCCCCACGGGCATCTCATGGCCTGACAGGTTCCACAGGTCCCACCGTTGTCGCAAATCTCGCAGGTTCCACAGGTCCAACACGTCCGACAGGTCCTGCAGGTCTCACGGATCCTGCAGTTGCCGCAAGTCTCACAAATTCAACGTAGGTCCCGAAGTCCCACAGGTCCCACAAGTCCCGCCAATCCCACAGATCCCACAGGGCTCGCAAATCACGGAGGGCCCACATTTCCTGCAGGTCCCTCAAGCGCCGCAGGTCTCTCTCTCTCTCTCTCTCTCTCTCTCACACACACCACATGGCACAAAGATCCCCAAGGTCGCACAGGTCCCACAAGTCCCACAGATCTTTCAGGTCCACAGTTCCCACGTGCCCCACTGGTCCCACAGGCCACATCATTCCCACATGCTCCAGAGGTCACACAGATCGCACAGATTCCATAATTTCTTGTTGCCCCACAAGTCTCGCAGGTCACATCTGCTGCTGCTGAAATGCTTTGCTGGGGTACAGCGCGGACGCGGTCGCAAAAAACCATCGCAAGAAACCCCACCCTGAAAATCCACGCGCGGGGTGCACCTGAAAGGAAACCCGGAGCACCCTGAACGCAGCAGCCTCTTTGATGGCCGCAGGAAGTCACCGCGCAGCGCGCGGAGCGAAGAAACCCCGAGCACCCTGACGAACAGCAGATGGTGTCTTGATGCGCGCGCCCACTGCAATTGGATTCCACGTCGCTTATGGCACGCGTCCATGGGTAGAAACACCACCAGCGTTTGTCCATAAACATCCACGTCCTTTGCAACGCTTGGGCGCAACAGTCCGACATCGGAGCACCTGGAAAGACACACGAATAAAGACATACTCGTGACAGGATTCAGAAAATGTTTCCATACTTTCTTGGTTTTTGTCATCCCGTATATTGTTGGGAATTCACGATTCACTGTGTCTGTGTGTTTTTCCATCCTGACCATGTCTCTCTCCACCAGACGCAAGGACATCTGACGGCGTGGGGGACGATCAAATGCTGAACCTGCAGGGCGACCTGCTGCTCTCCGCTGCTGGCAGACGGCACAGCGGCAACGGGAAAACCTTTGTGTCGGGTGGCCATTCCGGGGAGATGCCCGAGCAGAGACCAGGAGAAGGAGAGAATGGGTGGGGCGCATGGCTCATCCCAAACCACGAAAGCACAGAGGAATACAGAGACAAAAAGTTCACGGACGAGCCAGCAACCCGACTGGCTTGCACCCGAGCGTGCCACAGCACAGGCCGCACCCCAATGCCCGACTTCCAGAACAGGTATCGTCAACAGCACCGCCTGGCCAAATGCGATGCGACGGTGGAACCCCTTGGCCGCGTTCCAAGGCTGGCTGCGCGTCACCAGCACCGCCTAGCATCACTGGGGCTGAAGGCACGCAGCAGTCACAACCGATTTCCAGAGCAGACTTTGCTTACTTTGCACAGACAGGTGGCTACACAGCGATTCTCGCCGATGCGAAGCAAATCCTGGCAGGTGGCATTGCGCCCCTGAACAGCGCGGAGTACCGACGATGCCACCGGCTTAATCTGAACTGTCGACGTCCTCGTGACAACGAGCGGACGCGAGCGGCAAAGCGTCCCCTTCGCGGAGGGCGGCTGCAAACATGGCCAGCTGACGGACTGGCTCTCCCCCTCCTCATTGGGAGGGGAAGTAGCCAAGGGAGGGCGTTCAACATAGGCCACAGTGGGAGGATCGTCTTCACCGAGTCCCGTAGGCGGCGTTGGCTCAACAGCCCTACCTGAGGCAAGCGTCGCGGCCTGTCGTCGACGTCCTGCATATCGGACGGCAGGTCTTGAGAAAACTACTGCCCCCGAGGTCCGCGAGCGCGACATTGCACTTACAACAAACGCATTCGAACATACTGGAAGCATGTGAGCAAGCCACAGGAGGCGATGACCCTGGGACACTATCTTAGGAGGCCTGGCAATGGGCACCAACACCAACACAGGGGCTTGCCTCCACAAGGCGAAGATGATCCTAGATTTCGGCGTTGGTCGTAATATTTCGGCCACCTTGGAAGCCAGGATATTACCGCCACCGCCGAGATCGGGATCTGCTTCCCTCAGTGGAAGCACGCGGCCGATATTGGCGTTGGCGTCAACCTCTAGGCGCGCGATATCTGGCCCAGGGCTTCGGGCGGCTGCCCCGCGCAGCCCGCGCCCAACGGCAAAGCTCAAGAGCGGCGGTGCGCGGGGCAGGCGCTGCGCTCTCAGGCCCCCGGAAAGCGGGCCCAATAGCGGGCGAAACCAAGGGTGGGCGGCGCGGCGACGCTCGTCGGGGCGGTGGCCCAGGAAACGTTGTCGAGGTCGAACCGCGGCCAAAGAAGGAAGACATTGGCGGCGAGGCGGCGAACCGCGCTTGAAATCTCGACCACGAGACTGGTTGCCTCGATCTCGGGCACGGGTGCACCCCGGCGCCAGCCTTGGCTGCTGCGCCCGCGAGGTCGCCCCCCGGGCTCTTGACGCGTAAATCTACCGAGGGGGTCCGTCATCGACGGTCTGGGCCTTCAGTTCCATTGCAAAAGCCCACAAATTGCCGGCATCGTTGAGGGCCATTCCCGCGCGGAAGCGTCGGCGGGGAAGCGCTGGCGGGATCGCGGGCCGGCGGCAGTCTTGGCAACGTCAGCAGACTCGGAGCTACGAACGGAGACCTTGTCGAGAGTCAGACCAGACGCGGACAAAGCCACGCGCCCCCCAGCTCGAGACGTTCGGCGGTAAAGGCGGAGCACGAGTCCCACAAAGGCGCGCGTGCACCTCTCCAGCGTCCAACCAAGCCCCCGCCCAGCTCGACTGAATTCTTCGATGGCGCGTTCGCAAGAATAGCAGCCCATCGAATGCGCCCCTGGACTCGCGGCGAAGCCACTGGAAACTCATCGCCGCAAGTGACTTCGGCCCCTCCCTGACGCGCTGGCCACGGCAGGCGGTCGGCAGGGCGCGCAAACGGACCGCGAGAAAGAAATGAAGCGCTGCTAATTGTCTCCCAAGTCGGCGCACTGAAAGGCACGGCGCTCTTTGCGCGAGACGGTGGGGCCACGCCCCTCCAAGCTGGCAGCGCAGCGCCAAACGGATGAGCAAGTCGGCCTGAGTCTTGCCCAGAACGGAGAGCGGGTCGCCCAACTGGCATCCGAAAGCAATCGCGCGATCTTTCGGCCACAGCGCATCGCAGGCCAAGGCCTCGATCGCCCCCGCGCCGAGCGGACTTTGTCGGGGCGAACGCAGCTCTGGGGCCGCGACGTAGTGGCAGACTCTTTCGAGCTCGAACTCCTCGTAGCGTGGCCTCAGCAGCCCCTGGGGCGAACATCGCGCGACAGACTGCCGGGCCCAGGTCGTCAACGCAGGCGTGCCACTCATCGGTTTCAAGCCAAATCCTGGGCATCGACAACCTGGGGCTTCCCCGGAGGACCGCCGACGGAGCGCCAGGGGGTCAACTCCCCTTGGAATGCCCGCCCCCCTGATTCCGTGAACTCTCGAGAAGAAATGGGAAACCCGACAGCCTGAACTCGGTTGGCTCACGCATATTCACTGCAGCAGTGGATCGCAGCCGCGGCAGCGCACCGCGCGGGGCCCCGGCCGAGGGGCCGCCGCACAAGTGAGGGAGCGGCCGCCAGCAGAAGGCTAAAAGCAGCCCGCGTAGCCCGCCTGAGACACCGAAGCTCGCAATCGGAGGTGCATCGCGCCTCCAGTCCGCGAGCCGCCCCCGAGAGTAGTCCCGCGGAAAAAGTGCGCCTGGTAGAGCGCCCCGACATGTTCTCAGCCCGCTGGAACCAACAATTGCAATGCTCAGGGTTGAATGGGCGTTCTTGAACATGGTGGGGATCGCGCGTTCGGATCGACGACTTACTCCGTTGCCCCTGCGGGACCTGCCAGCAGTGGAGTCGACTCCAAAGTCGGAGACAGCGACGCACCCCCTGCCAGCCCACCCCCTGGCAACTCGTGAACGCGAGAGCCGATGGTAGCCGAGGAACAGACGGCCCTGTCGGTCGAGGTCTGGCAGAGCAAGCCGGCAGTCAAAACATTGTGGATCTCCTCGGCCCATTCGATCGCATCCTTCAGAGATGGCGCGTGCAAGACAGTAGTGCGATAGCCGCAGTCGTCGATACGCACGGCCAGAA